AACTATTCTTTAGGAAATATTTATTGGTATCATTCATGTTGATTCTTGGAAAATAAGTATAACTCTTCTTTATCTTTTTAAATAACAAAAAAAAAAACCTCTGTTAGAAATATTGATTGAATACAGCTTGTGCATTTTGACTTTTCTTTGTAGTGCTTCTCCTCAGGATATTTGTTAAGTTGCTACATGATGTATTTTTTATCTCTAACATCAGTGATTTCTTTTCCACTTCACTCTTTGAATCTGAATTATGTTTGATCACACTATTTTAGTTTATAAAATGTTAACTTTGTCTTAAAATTCATATCTCAAGGCATGTCTTTGAAAGTAGTAAAATATAATAAAGAATTGTTTTGCTTCAAAAGGTTTCCATTCATGTACACATATGCCAGGCGAATATACTCGGAGCCAGAACAGCACAAAGACGTGTAGTTTTCAGAAAGAGCAGGGAATCATTGCCGTAGCCACTAGATCTCGGCTGAGAACAACACTCTCCATCCATGTTCTTGGCAAAATAACATCAGCTCACCCTGCCCACCAGATAAGTTACCGACATTAAAGATGGCTCTCTCCTGATTGAATTATCACCTGACAGTTGTGCAGATTGCTCACTGAGCATCTTTGCTGGTCACACTCACTGACTTTTTCCCCAGCCCTGTTCGCAGCAGAGAGAGTTCTCAAAGGCTCAGCATTATCATTGTAAGAATAATGTTGACTATGCTAGCCCCTGATTTTTAAACTATTACTTTAGCATACTACATAAGACATATCTTGACATATTAAAGTACCATGGAAATTAATGTATTTCTGTCATGGTTACTCTGACTATTAATTGATGTCATTCCTGTTTCTCTGGCACAATGGGTCAAACTGTGGGCTGCCAGTGAAAGGTCGACCATTTGAACCCACTAACTGTTCTGCATGAAGTCGTTTGTGCTTTTCGTCTGATTAGACTCAGAACCTCTCCTTTCAACGGCCGCATCACTAGGATACCCACAGACTGGCTCAATTGAGCTGCAGAGACAGAGAACTAAATCTCACTCTCCCACTAGTATTCAGTTTTAGGCATACAGTCTGTGCAGATCATTGCTCAGCACCAACAGGGAGAATTCCACTCCGTGTTCTTCGCTGGGCAGAGGTGAAGTTCCCTTGGGTTGGCAGTTGACTGCATCTATTCCGTTTTTCCGAAGTATAATGGCCCGAGCTGTCCTTCATTAAATGCCTCTCCTTAGCTTTCAGTCACTGGGAAGGACTCATTTAAAAGATGTTAGAGTTATATGTATTCTCTGGCCTCAAGAAGTCCTAGCCATTATATTTGTTTATCCATGTGCATCTCTCTCGGCAAGGGAGCAAGTTACCATCATATTAGCATACGAGATACAAATGAAGTCAAAGTCAGTAACATGTTTCCCGTTGGTTGTTTTTATATCATTCACAGAATTCCCAACGTGTGAGCCACTAACTCAATTTATATGCACAAGTGGAAGATGCATTAGCAGCAAATGGCACTGCGACTCTGGCAAGTACCAACTGTTCCCTGTGCAGCACTGATTTGGTTGGAGGGCGGACTCTTGGCTACCTCGCCTCTCGCAGAGATGGTTTGGAAGAGAAGTTTGCAGAGCCACGCAAAGTAGTTAAAACAAGTGGTGAAAGGGCACCTACATCAATGGGGATTAGCATTGAGGATAATGGCTATCAATATGTGTCCCCAGGGACGGGACGATCACCGAGATTTGCTTGCAGCTATTATGCAGTGCCTAGTCTACCTCTACAAGCATATAGTAAAGGACAGAGTTGAGAAAGTGACCTGAGCAATTTAGGTTCCCAAAAGTATTTAGCGTTCTCTGAAGCCTCAGAATGGAATAGTTTATCAATAGTTATGAAATTATCCAGATGGTTTGAATTCTGTCACCTTCCCTTTTATAAACAAATGATGGTTTTTCTTACACTCATTTGTATCATTATGTTAAATTATGCTGAATATCCTTAAGTGAATTATATATAAATCAACACAATCTCAGCCATTTGTTTCCATTTTATCTATTATTACTTCACATTTCTCTCCCTTTCATCTTACAACAGTGTTTGAAAAAGGACATAAATCATTATTAATGGCAGTGTACACCAGTTTCCCAGTGTAAATACACATTCAGCAGCCTGTAGAGAATGGTAAACAGGGGATCTTCATGTTAGAGAAAGGGGGAAAGGGTCTGAACTATTTTTAAAACCTCTGGAATATAGAGAAAGTAGAACCCAAATCAAAAGCATACCACTGCCCATACCCCTTCCTGACTGTCCCGGAACCACCGTCATCTCCCGGCTCCATAGTTAGCTCATGCTGCGTGGGTGCGTTTTAGTCAGAAGTTACTTAACCCGGTCTAAAAAAGTAGCAAAGCTTCAAAATTCAAACTCAAGCAATTTGTCTACCTCAGTTTAGTAAGTAGGCAAGAGATATAGAGATGAAATATTTCTCTCATTGTTCATCCATTTATCTCTCATTACTTTTTCAAAAATAAAACTCTGTAAGCTAAAAAATTTTAGATTAATTCACAAGCCTGGTTTCTCGGGGATCAATTTTCACTGACTTAATGCTAATGACTCTTTCCAGACGATGACTGTGGAGATGGAAGCGATGAAGTGGGCTGTGTTCACTCCTGCCTTGATAATCAGTTCAGATGCTCTAGCGGCAGGTGTATCCCAGGCCACTGGTCCTGTGATGGTGATAATGACTGTGGAGACTTCAGTGATGAAACACAAGTCAATTGTACCAAAGAAGGTGAGTACTTTTGTGAATTCAGACAATCTCATTTTAACTCATTGAATATGTTCAACTCACCGCCATTGAGCTAATCCTATCGAGTGACATCATAAGGCAGAGTAGAATGACTCCCTAGGGTTTCTTAGGTGTAAATCTTGACAGAACCAAAAAGCCTCATCTTTCTCCTACGGGTTTCCTGTTGTATTCGAACAGCTGACCTTGTGGGTAGCTACCCAACATATAACCCACTCTATCACTAGGGGTCCTTGGACTTGTTCAAATTGAATATTACATATAAAAATAACTTCCCCTGTCAGATAAAACAATATGCATGTGATGAAATTGCATGGAGGCCACATTTGGCCTTCAGTGGGTTCAAGAGGGGGGAGGAGGATCTCAGTCCACATCTGCCCAAGGAGGATTCCCAGGAGGCAGAGGTCAGATGTGCCTGAAATCCATATCCTTCTTTAACCCATTCGGACACCAACCATCCCTCCCAAGGCATTCCACTTCTTTGCTGCATTCAGTGATCCATTGCATCAGCCACACAGAACCCACAGGCGATATTCATGTGATAAAGCCCATACATAGCTTTATTTGGGAAGCCAATCGGCTACACCATGTTAAAGATACACTTCTTTTGTCTGGAATGCCTCTTTCCAGCTGTGCCATCAAGATCTGCCTCGGAGTTTCAGTGTTTCTCTTCTGCTCTTTCTCATGGTCTCAGTGTGGTTCTTGTTCTCTTGTGTACAATGTTGATGGGGCAGCCTCTGCTGCCTCCATGCTGCAGACCAGGATCTGCCACATGCTCTGTTAGCAGTTCTTCTGAGGTTGTTCTAGAGTTGTAGACCCGGTGGAATGGCAAAACTGACTGACCTCCTCTACCAGTGTTTCACACTCCCCATTTGAACGGTCCAACCCAGCCCTTTGATGGGAGTTATAAAGCCATGCATAGAAGAACCATAACGAGTGACTCACTTAACTTTGCGTGTTAGTCGGGGTAGACTTGAGAAAGAATTCCACAGACATTCATGTATGTATAAGAAAGAGCTTTATATCAAAGAGTAATTGTATATTAATAAAAACATCCCAGCCCAGATCAAGTCCATAAATCCGATATTAGCCCATATGTCTGATACTAGTTCATAGATTCCTCTACAGACTCACACAGCACATGCAATGATGCCAAATGCAGAAAGATCACAGGCCAGTGGGTGAAAAGTCTTTAGGATCCAATGCCAATGAAAATATCTTAGTGCTGGCATGGGTCTCCAGCTCTCCAAGTGTCTCAAAAGTAGGAAAGTGAAACAGAGAGAGAGAGAGGAAGTTCCAAGAATCCTCAATAGAAGGCCACACCCACAAGGAAGCATCATCAGGCTATGACCTGATTGACAGACTAGACTCTAGCCCTTCACTCTAATACCCTCAAATTGACATGATACTATGTAACTACCACAAGTCAACAGATAATTGCTATAAAATAATAGTACAATTATCTTCCTTTCACTAATTCTTGACGTTCATTTCTCCAGCCTCACATTTTATGATACCATCACATACAATTCTCTACTAATGAGTCTTTGAAGCCTCTCCAGCTTCTGTATCACGAACTCCCAAAGCAATCTCAGTAAGGATTTTTTTTAAGTGAAAAATAAAATTAACTTTGCTTTCTAATTCCATGTAAAATTATATTTGCTCAAGTTTGAAATAGGCCTTTATTAAATAGTGAGATGTTCTAAATTGCTTATCTTCTTAGACCACAAGCTCAAAGAGGAAGAATATTGTGAGCAAGACTTTTCTCATACCCATGAGCACACCACCCCTGCCACTTGATTTGCTTACTTTACAAATGTAATCAATCATAGAATATGTCCATGAATTAGAACCCATTCTGGGAATGTCACAGAAACAGTGCTAGTCTGTCAAATATTTTGTAAAATCATTAGAAGTTTTATATAATTTTTCTTTCTACTTAAAACTGCTTATTGTTCATTCATTCACTTATTCTTCAACTATGGATTGAGGACCTCTGAAAAGAATTGTGTGAAGGTTGCATTTAACCTCCTCAGATTTCACTGAGGTTCAGGAAAGGGGACAACAAACTCCACAACAACCCAAGGCCAATTTCTATGAAACTCGGGTGACCCTCTCTGGCCCTTAACTTCTTAGACAGGAAAACTTTGCTCTGCTCAGACATTGTTTACAAAGCTTTCTAGTACTGCCAATAAATGACCCAAAGGACCCCACTCTCAGAAGCCTCAGCCTGACGTCTATCAGGTCTAATTCTGTGGATCATCAGACCTAGCTCCCTACTTAAGTGGCTGCAGGCACCCAGATTTACAAGCAAGCTTCCTGCCCAAAATTACATCACTCTGTTTCCTCTCTAAGCCAGGAAGCTCATGCTTTGTCTTGTGTTTGGAATCTTGGTTCTACACCCCACCCCCCAGTAACCCCTCCCCACCCGCTCTGCTACTCTTTGGTCTCTGATAACACAACTTTCTGGCCCTGGGTTGAGGCCTATTAATATGCAGAAATCTTTGTTGCAAAAGAGCATTTGGCTCTCCCGGTTCTTCTTTATAGATGGCAGTGAGATCGGCCCTTCTGCTGCAGGGATGGCTTATTCTACACCAAAAGAAGATGCCAGAATTTACTAATTCCCTTACTAAAGTTTCATGTGTTTATAATCACAATGAGCTCTGTTAATAAGTACTCACAACACATCTATGTTTAGTGCAGCAATTTCTGTAAAAGCAAAAAGAAACAGTAAAAACATCCAACCATAGATAATTGAATAAACAAATTCTGGTATATTCAAACAATGGAAGATTATGCATCATTAAAAACACCTGAAGGCATGGACAAAATTAGAAGGCATTGTGCTTAACAAAATTAGTTAATCTTATGAAGATAAATATTTTAAGACACCATTATTATAAAGAAAAATTTTAAAAATTCAAAATGGTTTTCACACCAAAGGAGACTACATCAGGTCAGGGATGAGCCAAAGGTAGGGAGAGGGAAGGGACAGGAAAATATGGAGCAAAGGTGGGGGGGGGGCGGATCCCTCACCACTGAATACCATAATCTCATGAGCTTCTTCCCAACTATCGCTCACCCAGACCCATCAGGGCAAAACAACAAAAATTTATTGGAGGGAATCACAAAGGCAATGGCTAGAAGACCCCTAACAAGTAATTTGCTGAGCCCCCAACTTTCCATTCCTGACACTGTGTCCGCACCAAGAAATAGATTTCAATACACAGTCCCTCCAGCAACTCACGTATAGAGCTATGTAGGAGGAGTAACCGCATACTGTGTAATTATAAGAAAGAGCACATTTCAATGTGTTATTCAGAAGGTGAATTTATTTTTTGCAAACAGTTGACAATGAGAAGATAGAAATACACAAGAGTGTCTTGGGCAAAAATTCATTTTGTTTCTTTATGTCTATTTTCTTCCTCTGTATATAAACTGAAAATACTATAAAATTAGCTATTAAAGAAATTGCATAATACTTGTTTATTAAAAATTAACTGTAGCTTTGCTGAAAACTCTCTAAGTGATTAGAACCCATATTGTTTTCAACTTGAGGTTATAAGAGTTATACAGCAAAGATCTTAATATGGAAGAATAACAAGTCATCCATGAATTCGAAGGCATTGAAACTTATGTCCTCATGATCATTTTTAAGAATGTAATTCATGTCTTTCTCACACTGTGCATGTCACAGGACTATAATGAAACCAGACAATGGGTAAGAAACTTTCTGTGACAGTGCCTTAAAGAGTGAATATGATCATATGTGAATTCAATTTTTCTTCTAAGTCAGTAAAAGAATTAATTACAGTCAAAGCTTCTATTTAATAGCATCTGCATTTTTAAATTTTCCATTAGACAGAAAATTCACCTGTCTTGCTATGAACTGTCCTAACTCTCCGTGTTTCAATATTTCCCACCTCAGTTTTGTGTTCTTTCTCAGAGCAGTTGCTGTAATATTAAATATGAGACATAATTTTTCAATAGATAGATTAGAATTAGATATAAAGATGAAATTGAGTATCACTATTCTGGACATATAAAAATAAGATGCATAGGTATATAATAAATTATTTTCATTTTATTAAAGTTGAAACATCCAGCTGGGGGTATGATTATCATTTAATTATTAAATTATACTTGAATGTAAGACTGCATTCCCCTCTCATGCCCTCTTAGGCTGCTCATAGGATGGGCATCTGCAGCCTGCTGGCACAGCCCCTACTGTGCTGTGAAAGGTGAATTTGCCCAAACTTAATTTATTTTCATCTCAGGAGTGAGATCTCATCTTTCTTTCTCATATTTATCTCCAAGTTAAAATGATCCTTCTATATTAAGAAGTTTTGAAGAGATTGCTTTAGCCTCATGAATGTCCACAATAAGTAGATCCTTTTAGAATCTCAAGATATCTTTTTAAGTGATTCTATAAGCAGTGGCTATAAAAAAGTAAATGGCCTGTATCTTTAAAACTTTTCCATGTCACCAATACACCACTGTACAAGATGTACTGCTCAATGTAAATGTCATGCATTTTTTATATGGTTACAGTAAACACTAAAGAAATATTGTTTATGATCTACACAATTCTCAGACATGTTTCAAGTTAAAAAGTGAAAATTGTCCAACCTAATTTTTATTTATCATATTATAAATTGTACTAGGATTCATTGACCACATATTCTATTTGTGAATCCAGGGGCAAGAGTTGAGGAAGAATACAGTCTGGGATGACTTTGCTGAAAGATATCCAGAGTATTTCAACTAAGGGCAAAATATTTAGAACTATCACTTAAAATATATATACGTGTATATTCAGAATATATGAATATATAGTATGCTCATACTATAAGTAATATATAGTATATGTAAATACACACTGTATTATCAGCTAATAATCATACACCGAATTTTTGGAGTTAATGAAGAGCAGGCATTAAGCATGAAAGTTTTGTGAGGACAGTCCCGAGGTAAAGTAAAACATT